TTGGCTGGTCTGGGCCACGCCAGTTGGCTGTCCACCCTGGTAGTGGGGGACCTCTTTGGGAGGTGGCATTGACTTCTGCTGTGAAGGGAGCAGAAGCACAGATCCTGTGGGCTGCCGCAGCAGAGTCGTGGGCGGAGCAGGGGCCTTCCCTAGGGCGGTGCATGTGCAGTGCGTTGACAGTGGCCCCCCCATGTGGCTTTGGGCAGACGTGTCACGCAGAGGCTCCCAGGGGTGGGTGCGAGCGACATTTCTGAGCTGAGCCCCGGCTGTGGCGTGTCAGGTGAAGGTGGAGCAGATGGCCATGGAGCTGCGGCTGACCCCACTGGCTGTGCTGCTGCGCTCCGTCCTCGACCAGCTGCAGGAGAAGGACCCAGCCAGGATATTTGCGCAGCCTGTGAGTCTGAAAGAGGTGGGTGTCCTCGGCCACCTGCTGTCTGCCCGCTTGTGACTGTGGAGATCGCTTTGCTGGTCGGTGATGTGGACCTTGGGGAGTGCACTGTGTGTGCTTGCTTTTGTTCTTAAACTTGGGGTTTTACTTGAACTCATTTTTGCCTTTTTTAGTTTGCTGTAGGAAACATGCACGCGCTTGCAGGAGACAAAGTGAGAAAGCACTCCCCAGGGATGGCCATGCCGCAGTCCCCTCTATACTCCTCGTGGGAGTCTGGGGCTGCCCTCCCACTCATGCCCCTGTGTGCTTTTCAAGCTGCCCTGGGATCCAGCCACTTAACCACCATGCTTCTTGGCTGGCCCAATGAACTCATCTTTACTTTTTGTAAAGAATTATTTTACTTAATTTGTTACTATTTATTCTTTAAACATGCAGTCAGAAAGTGACAGAGCAATGGCGGGGGTGGGAAGTGAGAAAGTAAGCCACAAGATCCGGGGCTCGAACTGTGGTTGGCCACGTGGAAGTCCAGTGCCTTTAACCACCACACCACCTGCTGGCCCCATGAGCTCATTTTTAATCATGATGGTGGTATATTTCATGGTATGTTTCACAGTGTGATGGAATACAGTGTGAGGGTGGGAGGCTCCCTCAGCACTCTCAGACCTTGGCACCTGTCTGGGCAGCACACGTCATAATGTGCTTTTGGTTAAAAGAGCTTGGAGGACAGCCCGTGGCATGGGGGTCGAGGTGACCAGAGGCGTGGTTTGAGTCCCGGACCCAGCAGCTTGAAAAACAGGCTCGGCCTGTGTGTGCATGCCCAAAATCCTAAGAAGAGGATGGAGGAGGGACTGTGAAGAGGCCATTCCCTGGGGGGTGCTCTCTCACTTTCCCTTCCTCTCTCTGGTGGGTGTGCCTGCCCTCTGGCAAACTAAAAAAAAAAAAAAAAACTTGTGTGAAGAGGGTCCCTGGGAGGATGCAGGTTTACTGTCGTGTTTGGGGGTATGTGTGTGTGCACGTGTGTGTATGTGTATGCCTTGACTCTCAAAAGAAGGTGATTTTATTGCTTATGTAGAGTAATAAATTCATAAGCAGTCAAGAATCGCTTTCGCAGTTTGTAAATAATGGTTTCCCTTCCCCAAATTAGGTGCCGGATTACTTGGATCACATTAAACACCCCATGGACTTTGCCACAATGAGGAAGCGGTTGGAAGCTCAAGGGTATAAAAACCTCCATGAGTTTGAGGAGGACTTCGACCTCATCGTGGATAACTGCATGAGGTACAACGCCAAGGACACCGTGTTCTACAGGGCCGCCGTGCGGCTGCGTGATCAGGGCGGCGTCGTTCTCAGGCAGGCCCGACGCCAGGTGGACAGCATCGGCCTGGAGGAGGCCTCGGGGATGCACCTACCCGAGCGGCCCGCTGCCGCCCCACGGCGGCCTTTCTCTTGGGAAGACGGTAAGAACCGCACCGTGTTGGCGGGGAGAGAGGCTGCCCTCCCCCAGACTATCTCTCAGGGTCTGTCAGCCACGCATCGTGGCATGGTCCTGTGGCCAGAGGGAGGGGGCGAGGGCGAGCCCAGCAGGAGCTGGGAGTGCTGTGTCGTAGGTGGCTCAGTGCAGCCCAGGTGGAGGGGCTCCGCCCTGCAGTGCTTTCATTGGTCCTGAGTTCTCAGCCGCCTGCCATGTGACACCCAGCGTGTGTGGCACCTCGTGCCAGTGCCCACTCGGCGGCAGCATTGACCCTGTGTGGAGCAGACCACGTCTAGGGGTCTTCTGCTGTGACATCAATGTGGCTGGGCTCTGTTCTGGAGCGGCCTGGGACTCTGGGCTGTTGTGCCCTCAAGGAAGGCCGTGGTGGTGAGTTTTAGACAGCACAGGCAGGGACTCGGATTGGCCTCGTGTCTGACCCCGAGACCGTGGCTTGTGTGGGCCGTGGAAGGGGCCTTGGGGAGCCTTGTGTGTGCTCCGTGGCTGCCCTGGCACACAGGCTGGCTGCTCATACCTCGGTGCCTCCGCCAGTTGGGCCTGGAGAGCAGCGCTGCCCTGGTTGCCTCTGGCTGGCCCGGCCCATGCTGGTGCTCTGGGAGTGGTGCGGCCGCCCTGGTGGCTGGGGAGCATCTCCCAGCGTGGCTCTCCTGAGCTCAGCGGTTCCCAGGAGCCATGGTCTGTCTGGTTTGTGCATTCCAAGGCCCCACGTTCCTGATTCTGACCTACATGTCCCCCATGGTGAGCGACTGTGCCCTGGCCCGCTCCCTGCCCGCCCTCTGCCTATGTCTGGCGACTCTGCTCTGCCCTTCCTTAGGGCAGGAGCACGGGAAGTGACTGTTGGCTTTCTGTGCTTGGCAGGGGCAGGGCCACCCTCTAGTCCTCTAGCGCCTGGCATCTGGACAGCCCGCGCTCTGCTTTCCTGTCGTGTGGGTGGTACTGATGGGATAAGGGCTGAGGGAGACACAGCTCACATGGTAGTGTGGACACCCAGCTGTACTTTGGAAACACAAGGTCGTCTTTTTTTTAAAAAATTTTTTTAATAATGAGTTTTTGCTATAGGTTGCATGAGAGCTAGGAGGGGTGAGAAAGCACCCCCTAGGGAGATAGCCATGCCACGATCCCTTCCCCTCCGCCCTTCTCTTGGGATTGTGGACATGTACGCACACACGCCTATCGTGATTGCCGAGGCCCCAGGTCCAGGGTTGCAACTGTGGACTCAGCCATGTGGGATCCAGCTGTCCTAACCACTGTGCTGCTGACTGGCTTGCTCTTTTTTTACAGATTCTTTAAAGGTTTTTGCCACAAGGTGTGTGTATTTGCCAGAGAGACAGAAGGAAAGAAAGAGAGAAATCACCCCCAGGGATGGCCATGCTATAGTCCCTTCTCCATTCTCCTCCTGGGATCTTGGGCACTTGTATACATGCAGGTGTGATTTTCAAGGCGTCAGGTTGGGGATTTGAACTGTGGTCAGCCACGTGGGAGGTTAGCACCTCAATTTGCATGCCACCTGCTGACTCCATTCTTTGCCTCTGATTTCCAGAGTAATGCAGTTCTTGTAGGTAATTGGCAAGTGAACACATACTTAACCGCCCAGAGTTTGCTGACAATTCTTGGTGAACCTAGGTAGAGCCTTGACCCTAAGCTTGTGCTCCCAGGCAGGCTGGGTCAGAGCTACCCTACTCTAGAGCCCTTCCCAGGGGCGCTGTGGGAGCTGGGCTGAGATGCCCATTCTGGAGAGAGCCTTGGCTGTGGTGTGCACCCCCTTTCCTGCGATGGCCTCCCTGGGCTTCCCTGTGAGGCCCAGACTCCTCGCTGGCTGCCAGGCCCCAGGATTGCAGGGTGGCGTTGGCCTGCCCTGGCATGAGAAGACCTGCGTGATACCCGACGCTTTCTCTCCTGGGCGCCTGGAGGTTGCTGTAGCCCCGGGCCCTGTCTCCATGGTCTGTGTGGTCCTCCAGCCACCTCGTGATGTTTGGTGGGGCCTTTCAGAAAAGGTCCACAGGGGTAGTAAGCATGTTTCTATGCCAGGTGTTTTGCTGAGCACAGAACAGTCTTATTCTCTTCCCTGGTGTTCGGGGGTCACATGCTGGGAGCGCCCCCGCAGCTGTACCATTGTCTTGAGCGCCTTCATGATGTCTGCCTGGGGGGCCGTGGCATGGAGGCTGCTTGCCCTGTTGAAACGTCTATTACGCAGCGTTTTCCTTGGCTCGTCCCTGATGGGTTTGTTCGTGAGAACACGTCTGAGCTGTGTACTGTTGCCAGGGCGGTTTGAGATGGAGACATGGGCGCGGGCCTCACCGCGGTGCTAAGGCGTCTCCCTCCTCCTGCGCTGTGTGTGTTTGGTCGTTTCGAGAGCGCGACCGGCTGTGGAGGGGGAGTCGGCCTGTTTCCGTCTTATCTCACCCTCTTCTCTCTGCTCTTGGCCATAGCTCCACGTAGCTCTGGAGTAGTATTTTTCCTGGGCATTTGTCACCCGTTTAAGGTAGTTTGTGCTTTATGCATCTTGTATTTTGTTACAGTCGAAATTGCTAGGGATGCTGGTAGTAAACGTGCTTGAATTTCAGAATAATGACTCTTGCATCCTGTTTTAGTAAAGCCATGCAGGGACCTATGTCTGAGGACCTCAGCTAAGGCCCTTTGTGATGGGCAGCCAGGCCCATGAGTGCTGGCTGTGGCCCTCACAGCTCAGTGGGCCCTGTGCCTGGCTGGCTGCAGCAGCTCTCCTCTGGCACCCTGCGTCGTCTCATAGCAGTAGCCTCCTGTGAATTGGGTGCTGGTGGGGGCCGGAGGACCGTTTGGGCCTCGGTGAGTGGGCCTTTCCTTGGCATTGTCAGGTAGTCATCCTGGGCTCGGCCACGGGTAGTTTAAAAGGTGCTTGGGGCCACAGTAGCGTTTTCTGGGTGCTCCTGCTCAGCAGTGAGGCCATGGGGGAGGCCTGGTGGTGGCTCCTGGCCCAGTGTTGGTAAGGTGGGTCTGTGGTCCCTGCTGTTTGGGACACTTAGGCAGGGGGATCAGAATAGTGAGTCGGTGTCTCCCATAAGCAGGTCTCTGCATGCTCACCTGCTCAGGGTGGCTGAGCTGGGACAGCTCTCCGGAGGCGCGTGGGTGTCGGGTCACTGATGGCACGTGCGCTCTGTTCAGTGGACAGGTTGCTGGACCCGGCCAACAGAGCCCACCTGGGCCTGGAGGAGCAGCTGCGTGAGCTGCTGGAGAAGCTTGACCTCACCTATGCCATGAAGTCCAGCGGCTCCCGGAGTAAACGGGCCAAACTGCTGAGGAAGGAGATCGCCCTCCTCCGGAACAAGCTGAGCCAGCAGCACAGCCAGCCCCCGGCCGCGGGGTCAGGTACTGGAGGCTTGGAAGAGGACAGTGCTCCGCTGGGGCTCGAGGCACCTGAGGAAGGTGAGCGTGACGTGGCGGGCAGCTGCGCGGGAACGGATGTGCGGTAGCTGTTGCTGCTCCCGGCTTGGCACTCTGGGGCCTGGTCGCCTGACCCCCCCTTGGGTTTGCCTCCTTGGAGAAAGGGGTGCCCTTTGGCTGCTGGGCTCTCGCACTTAGCGGTGACGGGGTTTAAGACACAGAGTGAGAAGAAGACCTAGGTCCACTTGGGCCCAAGGGCAACACAGGAAGCGTGGCTCCACTCCTGTCGCGGTGGAGGAGGAGCAGCCTGCCTGGGAGAGCGAGGGCTGTCTGCTGTCTCGTGCGTCATAGGGACATAAGTGGTGATCCAGCGCAGCTTCAGAGAGGCAGCTCTAAGCCGTCGGCACTTACATGCCTGCCCGCCCAGTGATGTGCAGGGTGCGCTGTAGGGACATATGTGGTGATCCAGTGCAGCTTCGGAGAGGCAGCTGTAAGCCGTCAGCACTTACATGCCTGCCCACCCGGTGGTGTGCAGGGCAGGGCAGTAGCTCAGGTGCTTCCTTCCGGGAAGAGGCACACTCCCACGTTGTGGGTCCCCAGACGGGCTCCTCATCAGGGCTGAGCCCTCCACATAGCAGTCAACGCTGTGGACGGCGACAATACCCAGGCAGTTATGGAAATCTGGGAGAAGAGTGAGATAGCCAAGATGTTTTTACATGTAGGAAATAAACGTAGGAGAAGAAACCCGTCCTTCCGGTGAGACCCAGTTCCAGGTGGGAAATGAGCAGTAGCAACACCATGGACCTCATGTGTGTCCGGGTCAGGAGAGACTGGGTTAGATGTCACAGGTCCTACGTTTGGTGGAAGAGAACTTGGAGTGAACACTTACAGCTAAACTGGGGCCAGGTGGTTAAGGCCACTGGCCCCCACTTGGCTGACTGCAGTTCAAGCCTTGGACCCACAGTTTGAGACACATGCCAGGCATGTGTATGTATCCAAAATCCCCAAGAGAGAGAGAGACAGAGGAGAGGGATTGTGGCGTGCCCATTGCCCACGGGGGGAGGGTGCTCTCTCCGTCTCCCTCTTGCATGCACGTGCCTCTGGCAGGTAATATATGGCCTGGAGTGACCTGACGCTCAGCCGGTTGGAAACGCCTGCCTTGGTGAGAAGGGCCTTTCCTTTAGCTGACAGGAGAGGTGCGGGAGAGTCCTTCCTCAGAGCGGCGGTCCCCAAACTTGCAGGCATCAGCGACAGGTTTCGTGGAAGATAGTTTTATTGTAGACTGGGGTGGAGGTGGTTTATGAGGCTCAGTCACAATTCACAGTGGGGATCAGGGTGTCTTGAGCGCCCAGGAGTCTTGATGTGGCTGCTGGTCTGACCTGTCAGAGCTCAGGCCACGCAGGGAGGAGGCAGTGGCGGGAGGCATTGGCAGCCCTGCTCCACCTGCTGCTCACCTGTGAAGCAGGGTTATTTAGGGGTTGGGAGGGCAGGGCCCAGACTTAGAGAGGAACTGGAGCCCTCTGGGAATCCAGGTCAGGCAGGGCCAGCGGCAGGAGTGCTGAAGACAGCCTGAGTGCTGTGAGGACAGCCTGAGTACCAAGACCAGCCCAAGTACCATGAGGAAAGCCCGAGTACCAAGGACAACCTGAGTACTAAGGACAACCCGAGTAATGTTGTTGCAGAAAACCAGACACCGAGGAACGGAAAATAGCACCTGGAGAGATAGAACTCTTTATTATGCCAGCAGGCACGGAGGAGTTAACACTCTGATATCCTGCCCTGGCCGAGAGTTGCGCAGTCCTTTATGGGTGAATTGAGGTGGGGTGGTTTCAGCACGCTTGGAGTGTCCTATCAGGGTAGGGGCTCAGCGTCTGCCCTGGTATGGAGCTGGCCTCTGGGGAGGGGCAGGTAGTTTGCGTGGGAACAGAAGGTACAGGTGGTTATCAGCCCTGGGTTGCTTCAAGGTTGCTTAAGGTTCTGGGTTAGTCCACATCATACATAATGAGGGCAGCCAGAGTATTGAGGATAGCTCTAGTGATGTGAGGACAGCCTGAATACCGAGGATAGCCCAAGTACTGAGGATAGCCAGAGTGATGTGAGGGCAGCCCGAGTACTGAGGATTACCTGAGTACTGTGAGGGCAACCAAGTACTAAGGATAACACTAGTACCGTGAGGACAGCCCGAGTACTGAGGATAGCCCAAGTACTGTGAGGGCAACTGAGTACTAAGGGTAGCTCTAGTACTATGAGGACAGCCTGAGTACTGAGAGGGCAACTGAGTACTAAGGATAGCTCTAGTACTGTGAGGACAGCCCGAGTACTGAGGATAGCCTGAGTGATGTGAGGACAAGCCCGAGTCCTGTGAAGGTAGCCCGAGTACTGAGGATAACCTGAGTGATGTGAGGACAGCCCAAGTACTGAGGACAAGCCTGAGTACTGTGAAGGCAGCCCAAGTACTGAGGATAGCCCAAGTTATGTGAGGACAGCTGGAGTACCAAGGACAACCTGAGTACTGGGACAGCCTGAGCACTATGAGGATAGCCCGAGTACCGAGGACAACCTTAGTACTATGAGGGCAGTCTGAGTACTGAGGATAGCCCAAGTGATTGAGGACAGCTGAGTACTGAGGATTACCCAAGTACTGTGAGGGCAGCTCGAGTACTGTGGACAGCCTGAGTACTGAGAATAGCCCAGGTGATATGAGGACAGCCCAAGTACCGTGAGGTTAGCCTGAGTACGGAGGACAACCTGAGTCTGTGAGGGTAGCCCGGGTACTGAGGGCAGCCTGGGTGCCGAGAGGGTGGCCCGGGTACTGTGAGGACAGCCTGAGTATTGGGAGGATGGCCTGAATACTGAGGGAAGCCTACGTGCTCTGAGAGAAGCCTGGGTGCTGAGGGCAACTCGAGTACTGTGAGGGCAGCCTGAGTATTGATGACAGTCCCAATACTGTGAGGGCAGCCTGGGTGCTGTGAGGATGGCCCGAGTACTGTGAAGATGACCCAAGTACTGTGGATAGTCTGGGTGCTGGGAGGGCAGCCCAGGTACTTAGGATGGGATGGGTGCTGTTAGGACAAAGAGAGTACTGTGAGGGCGGCCTGAGTACTGAGGACGGCCTGGGTGCTGTGAGGATAGCCTGAGTACTGTGAGGGTAGCCGAAGTACCAAGGACAGCCCGAGTACCGTGAGAACAGCCTGAGTACTGAGGACAGGCTAAGAGCTGTGAGACCGGCCCAATTACCAAGGAGAGTCTGAGTACCAAAGAAAGCCCAACTATTGTGAGGCAGCCCGAGTACCAAGGACAGCCTGCGTGCTCTCAGGGCAGCCCAAGTACTGTGGGGGGCGGCCTGAGTACTGAGGACAGCCTGAGTACTAGGGTTGGCCCGGGTGCTGTGAGGACAGCCCAAACTGTGAGGACGGCCTGGGTGCTGTGAGGGCAGCTCAAATACTGGGGATGTGAGGACAGCCTACATACTGGGGACAGCCTGAGTGCTGTGAGGACAGTCCAGGTACTGTGAAGGCAGCCAGAGTACTGAGGACAGCCTGAGTACTGACAGCCTGAGTATGGAGGACGGTCCAGGTGCTGTGAGGACAGCCTGAGAACCGAGGACAGTCTGAGTGCTGTGAGGGCAGACCGAGTACTGAGGACAGTCTGAGTGGTGTGAGGTTGACCCTAGTGCCGAGGACATCCCTAGTACCACGGACAGTCCAAGTACTATGAGGACAGCCTGGGTCTGAGGGCAGCCTGGGTGCTGTGAGGGCAGCCTGAGTACTGAGGACGGCCCAGAGACTGTGAGGGCAGCCCGGGTACTGTGAGGATGGCCTGGATTCTGAGGATGGCTTGTGTACTGAGGATGACCTGCGTTTTGGGAGGGCGGCCTGAGTACTGAGAGGATGGCCTGAGTACCGAGGGAAGCCCAGGGGCTGAGGGCAGCCCGAGTACTGTGAGGATGTTTCAGGTACTGTGAGGACGACCAAGGTATTGTGAGGTCTGCCAGGGTACTGAGGGCAGCCCGGATACTGAGGCCAGCCCGAGTACTGTGAGGATGGCCCGAGTACTGTGGACAGCCTGGGTGCTGTGAGGACGACCTGAGTACTGATAGGGCGGCTCAAGTACTAAGGATAGACAGTGCTCTGAGGATAGCTCGAGTATTGTGAGGGCAGCCTGAGTACTGAGGACAAGCCCGAGTACTGTGAGGGAGCCCGATTACTAAGGACAGACCGAGTGCTGTGAGGACAGCCTGAACACTAGGGATGGCCTGTGTGCTGTGAGGACAGCCCGAGTACCGAGGACGGCCTGGGTGCTGTGAGGATGGCCCAAGTACTGAGGATAGACGGAGTACTGTGAGGGCAGCCTGAGTACTGAGGACGGCGCAGATACTGTGAGGATGGCCCAGGTACTAAAGATAGCCCGAGTTGTGAGGACGGCCTGAGTACTGAGGACAGCTGCGTATTGAGGACAGTGTCTCTGTGTACTGAGTTCTGAGGTCAAACTGGGGCTGTGAGGGCAACCCAGGGACTGAGGACAGCCCGAGTACTGAGACAACCCTAGTGCTTGGAAGACGGCCCGAGTACTATGAGAGCAGCTGGAGTACCAAGGACAGCCCGAGTACTGTGAGGGCAGCCCGAGGACTGAGGACAGCCTGGATACTAAGGGCAGCCTTGGTGCTGTGAGGACAGCCCGAGTACTGTGAGGGCAGCTCGAGGACAGAGGACAGCCTGAGTACTGAGGGCAGCCCTGGTGCTGTGAGGACGGCCCGAGTACTGAGGACAGCCCGAGTGCTGTGAGGACGGCTCGAGTACTGACACACAGCCCGCGAGGTCGGCCAGGCACACTGGTTGTGGTGTGGACGTGTGCCTGGTATCCGTGCTCGGACAAAGCCCGATCCGTCCCGCGAGGGCCGGGCGCCGCTGTTCCCGGTTCCCGCTGTCCCCGCCACTTGGCGAGGTGACAGGGCCCGCTGGCAGAGCAGTGGCTTGCTGGGGGGTGGGACCTGTGTGGAAAGCAGCAGCGGGGTGCGATGGTTCTGAGCGCTCCGCTAGGTTCTGGCCTTCATCCCTGCACTGTTGGTGTCACTGGCTGAGGGCGTAGGTGGAGCCCATACCGTGTGCGGGGACAGGGCTGGAGTGAAGGGTGTGGGGTCACGTCCTCTGGGCTGGGCCTGTTCCCCACAGAGACTGCGGGGGTGTCTCTGCCCCCAGTGTCCCTGCTGCTGTTACATGCCCAGCCTGGAACAGGCACGTACATGGGGCTGGTCACCGTGGTCTGTCCAGGATGGCCGGGGAGGTGGTGGAGCTGCAGAGTGGGTGAGGTCTGCTGGGAGGCTGTGCCCTGCAGGGCCCCTCATGGCCTGGACGTGGACGCAGCTGGCGGGCGTGCCGGAGTCAACCGGGCTCTCGGTGCAGACAGCGAGGGTAGCTCTCCCGTGTGCCGAGCTCTTCTTGGCCAGTCTGGCCGTGTGGCAGGGGCCATCAGTGGGTGGGGGTCTGCAGACTCCGTGTGTATGAGGCTGGGCCTGTCCTGCATCAGGGCATGTCCTCAGGTGAGCTGAGCAGCAGGTGGTTTAGCCATGGGGCGTCCATCCCTGCCTGCATGTTCACTCCACAAAGAGCCCACCTGGCATGGGGTGCGGTGCAGGAGGCTTGCCTGTGGGTGGGCACCTTGAGAGTGGCCACCGTTCTCCCACCTTAGGGCAAGGAGGGGAGGTGCAGTGGCGAGTTTGCACCTTGCGGCCTGCGAGCAGCCCCCGCTCTCGAGTCTCTAAGCCCTTCCTGAGCGCCGCATGGCAGCAGCAGGAAGCCGGGCCTATGACCAGAGTAACCACAGAAGGTGGGTGTGTGCCGCGGACCAGTGTCCAAGCAGGGTCCCTTTCTATAGGCTGTAGGGTTTGGTGCTCCCTCTGAGGGACTGCCGGGGCCGCCCGCCCGTGGTGGAGGAGTTGCGGCCCAGGCAGCCGCAGCTCGGGGCTGAGCCTGCAGCGGAGGTGGGGCCTGAGGTAGCCGTGGAGAGGGCGGGCTGCAGGCGGGAGACCTTGGCTGCTGCTTCGGGCTCCATCTCCGCCGGCCTGGTGTTGCCGCAGCCACCGAGGCTAAGACCGAGGTTGAGTGGAGGAGGGTGGTGGGCAGTGTCCGCGTCGTGTCAGGAGGCCAGGCGTCAGTGGGGGCGTGGACAGGCGCTGCCGTGCCAGCTGGGTGCGAGCCGGCCTCTGGTGCGTGTTTGCGCGGCAGAGGCACTCCCGGAAGGGCCTGACGGAAGCTCCGAGCAGGGGCTCTGCAGGCTCCAAGCCCCTGGCCAGTTGTCCGAGGTTTGTAGATAGCACTTCCTGAAACCCGGTAGTGGCCTTGAACAGTGTGGTGAGGAGCCTGTCTCCCTCACACACGTGACGGATTTGGATTCGGATTCTGTGCCCACTCGCGGTGTTGTACCTGCGGCATCGGTGTGTGTGTTCGCTAAGCGCAAGTCTCTGCCCAAGGCTCCGTGATAAAAGGCCTTTTTAAACGAGAGGCTTTTTGTTGAGGCACGCCTTGCCCTTGGGACTGAAAGTGACTGAAACGGGGCTGATGTGGGCTGATGTGCTTTGAGTGGCGTTTGGAAACGGCCCTCATAGAGCTGCCCCGTGGTGATGCTGGGGGTGAGCGTCCTCGTTTGCACGTGAGTGGCCGCCCCGCCTGGCTTCGCTGTTCTTGGTGCCAGTCTTGGATGTCGGGTAGTTTGGAGCGTGAGGGAGGGTTATGTTCTGTAGGCTTTCATTTTCAAAGCGATTTGGATTTAAAATAACCCTTCTGCCTTTCAGATGGCTTTGAGTTTGCGGGTTTATTAAAATAAAAGTAATAGTTAGTGAGGCCTTGTACTATTTAGGGTCATTTAGAAGGTCATTGTTAGTTTTGCATCGAGTTTCGGAAGCCGAAATCTCAGTGGCTTGGCCCCTTGGTGTGACCTTGACCTTGATCTTGCTCTGATTGCTGCTGGGCCAGAGTCCCCATCAGTGCTGAAGCCAGGCAGACCACCGTGAGCTGCTGAGATGCTGCTCCACTCCTCTAACGTCAGCCTTTCCCTGGGCATCCCTCAAAGCCTCTCTAAAGAGGTAAAGTAGCCTGATTCCAAAGATGTTTTATTTCGAAAGTCAGATCAGAGGGACCAGCAGTTAGCGTAATGGCTATGTCGCTGGACTCCCATGTAGTCCACCGTGATTCGAGTCCTGGACCCTTCGAGTCCCGGACCCAGCGGCGTAAACTCACACCGGGCGCATTGCGTGCGTGCCCAAGATCCCAAGAGGAGAATGGAGAAGGGATTGCAGCGTGGCCATCCCCCCTGGAGGGTGATTTCTCGCTTTCTGTCTCTGTCCTTCTGGCGAGCGCATGCGCCCTATAGGAAAAATCCTCTACAAAAAAAAAGGAAAGATCAGCCAAAATAAAGCTCCCATGTCAGAACTGGGAGAGCGCGCGGACATGTGTTCCCAGGCACTCAGGTGGGGATCTTTCCTGCTTCTCCCGAGAACCATTCGCAGCCCCTCAGCACTCCCCGTGTCTTGGCTCGAGTTAGAGACCCCGGCAGGAGTCGGCTGTGGTGCTCGCTCCCCTCGCTGCCCTGGTGGGCCGGCCTTTGGCCCAGCGTAGACCTCGAGGTGCCCATTAGTTATGTGTGGCGCTCTCCTTCCTGAAGGTAAGTGAGTTGCTGACTGCACAGACGTCGCCGCGAACGAGGGATCTGGGCACCGGCCTGCAGCCTCTGGCTAGCGTTAGGGACGCGCACCCCGTGCGCCCGGTGGCCTGGGCTGCTCGCTGCGTAGACACTGACGTGTTTGCTTGTTTCCTTAATTGCAGTAGTGTTTTGGTGGACTTCACATTTGTAGTAAGTTTTATGATAGATCTTATAATCTTCAGTTTTCAAAAATCACTTTATTTATAATTTTTTCAGGAGATAAATCTCCCCCTAAACTTGAACCATCAGATGCATTACCTCTTCCTTCAGACTCGGAGACTAATTCAGAGCCACCAACCCTCAGACCAGTAGAGCTCGGCCCCGAGCAGAGTAAACTGCCCAAAAGAGTCACATTTGGTAATGAGTCACATAGCACTTGCACTCAGAGCGCCCTGGTGAGCGGACACCCTGCAGAGCCCACCCTCGCCAGTGGTGGCGCTGCGCCGGCGGCGGCCTCCGCGGGGGCGGAGCCATCAAGCGATGTAAACAGACGCACTTCTGTTCTCTTCTGCAAATCGAAAAGTGTAAGCCCCCCAAAGTCTGCCAAGAACACTGAAACCCAGCCAACTTCTCCTCAGCTAGGGACCAAAACCTTTCTGTCTGTAGTCCTTCCGAGGTTGGAGACTCTTCTGCAGCCACGGAAAAGGTCGCGGAGCACGTGTGGAGACTCCGAGGCGGAGGAGGAGTCCCCGGGAAAGCGCCTGGACACAGGTAAGTGTCTCAGCTGATCACCTCAGAGCCCTCCGGACTTAGTGTGGTGGGGTGCTGGGCGTGGGTTTCCGCAGCTCCGTCTTCCTGTCCAGACAGGGGACAGGTGGGTGCTTTCCCCTCCAGAGCCTGAGGCCCCCACTCTGTGGTGGGCGCCGTCTGGGGCGGCTCCATGCGTGGTGGTCAAGCTCGCTCGGCCCCAGCCTCCTCCCTGGTTCGCCTCTTGCCACGAGGACTTCAGTGGTGGCTGTAGTTGATTGTCTTGAGCATGGTGGGCACAGCAGGGCAACCTCAAACCCACTCCACAAGCCTGGAGAGGGTCTCCCCAACCCTCTCAGGCCAGGACCTGGATTCGAACTGGGCCCCTCCCTGAAGACGGCTAGTTCTTTGAGTGCTCTAAGAGGATTCTGCTCTTCCACTGATCATAGGTCCTCAGCGGGCGATGGAGAGCACGTCTGGGGTTCTCCCTGCCCCCTGTGGGTGCGCGTGGGCGTACGCGGGATCCTACCTGGCGGTCACTCTTGCCACTGTCTCGTTTCCTGCCGAGACCTGTTAGGGAGCGCTTTCGGGCAGCTGGCCACACTGCCATCAGCCTTGTGGTCGTGGTTCCCCGTGTCGAGTAGGAGGCATCGTCTCTGCCCCCGTGCATCCCGTCCCCAACCCTGGGGCAGCAGGGGCTCGTGTCCTTGCAGAGAAGCGACTGCGGTCTGTCTGTCCCCCCCTTGAGTGATGGCTCTGCCTCTGGGGGCGCCGGGACTCGGTCGGCAGCAAAGGTGCCTCTCCTGGGTCAGAGCCTGGTTCCTCCCTGGCATCTGCCTGACCGCACCTTCCCTCCTTGCGCAAGGTCGGTGGTTTCTCAGGGCTTTAGCGCTTGAGAACCAGGCCTGGGTTCAGTGTCACCTTAACTTCATGGAGCGGCCGGGAGTGGCTCCTGTGTCGCGGAGCCAGGCCAGGCAAGGGTGACGGTGCTGGTGAGACATGTGCCTGCAGGCCATGCTGCATGTCGCCCTCTTCTGCCACCGCCTCTTCTGCCCTGAGCATCTTGGTGAAGGGGAGGGATCCGGGGTCTGGTGCCGGCGGGCCTTGGCACAGAACTGCAGTTCCTCTCTCACCAACCGGTGTAGCATGCTTTTGTTGCTAGGACAGTTGTGAGCAAGTTTCACCTTAGTCTGTCAGAAAGCCCTATGCATGTGATCTCGCAGGAACCCCCGTCGGTGCCCTCTCTCTTTGGCGGCTGACAGTCCGCTGGCACTCAGTGACCTGGTGACCCAGTGACCCCTCTCCTGAGCAACACAGAGTGTCTGCACGTCTCCTGGGCTCCAGGCGAAGACACGATGGGCCTCGCTGTGGTCCTCGGGCATCTCTTGCAGCCACACTTTGGCCTTTCTCAGCCCAGTTTAGTGAAAGACTTCAGCATGTTTTCAGAGCTCCTAGGAGCTCCTCATGGTCATGGAAGTAAGCCGGGACCTGCGTCCTGGGCACCAGGGGACCGCACAGTGCGGCCGAGGCCCTGGAGCATGGCCAGTGAGCCAGACCCTGAGGTCCCTGGGCCACGGCCCCTCCTCGCCGCCCTCCCTTGCACACCCGAGTCGCGTGTGCCCTCTGTCCCACTTGTTCACATCTCATGCGAGGGGAGTGCCCGTAGCTGTTCAGTGGCCACAGCGGGTCTCACGGCAGCTTTCCTGCAGAGCGCGGGCAGGTGCGGCCCTTGGTGTGCGCCCTGGGAGGGAGCCCCTGGGCCCTGACTGAAATGGGGGTTTCTGCTTTCTTATTCCAGAATGGCAGTAGATGTCAGTGGATGCATGGCCAGCTCCTCAGCGCTTTCCCGCGCAGCCTGGGAGCCTTAGTAGCCCTAAGATCAGCCCGCTGCTGCTGCTGTCGCTGCCCCTGCCAGGGCGGGGCTGGCGTGGTCAGGCCACCCCTGTCCTTACCTCCCAGTCTGGCTCCGCCCTCGCCTGAACTCTGGTGCTCTCTGCACGCCTGGGACTCCCGCTCCACGTAGCAGCTCTTCGCAGTCCGAGGACTGGAGTGCTCCACCTTCCACCCGATTTTCCCAGAGATCCGTCTGTGCTCTGAACCCATAGGGGCTGTCTGGTGTCCTCCTGCGACTGCAAGATTCCAGAGTAGATTCAGACGGTTTGCTCGCTTCGAGACGGCTCTCCTGTAGGGCCTCCTGCTGCAGCACGTGTCGCGTGCCTGTTGCCTGGAATACAGCTCAGGCTCTGCCTCGTGGACATCACATTCCCATCGCCAGCCTGGCTTGCAGCCTCCTTCCGCTGTGGCTTTTCTCTTCTGACGACAGAACGCCAGGCGGACTCCTGGCTGCTCGCCTCTCCCTCAGTCCTGCCGCGGGGCTCTCGCACGTGGGGTGGCGTGAGAGCTGGGGTGACGGGCCGTGACTCTCTCAGGCAGGCCAGACGGCCTCTCACGCTCCCGCAGGCTCTTGCTCTCCCTGCCGTGGGCAACTCGCTCTTTGGATCCTACTTCTCTCTGACCTCAGCTCGGGTTTGAGTCTGCCGAGCGGCTGCGTCACACAGACCCCATGTCCTTGCGTTTCGCTTTGTTCTGACTCACGCTGGAACAGTCAGAAGCACAGACCCCCGCTGTGGACAGCCTGCCCCCAGCTGGCCCGCCTCTCAGACTCAGAGCCCTCGGTGGGGCTGGGGGTGGTGCGTGGGCAGCCCGGCGTTCTGGAGCTGGTGGGGCATCACAGCGGCCTGTGGCCTCCCTCTGCGGATGGTCAGAGGTTGTGGGGGCCACCGTCGGGATGCACCCTGGTGCAGATGACACAGCTGGACAGACACCCCAAGTCCCAGCGCGACCGCGGATTGATCAGGGCAGCCGGGACTCTGCACGATGTGCCCGTGCTGTGCTGGGGCCTCTGGAGGAGCTCGGCACCTGGCCCGGCCCAGTCCTGGCATGGACAGCACCCCTCGCTCCTTGCTCGCGACTGTACTCCGGCCTCCCCGTCCTCGTCCCTTCCCGACGTCCTTTCCTTCCTGCCCCCTGGGGACCCTGGGGGTGACCGCATGGTCCCGTCACTCTCCCTGCTCACCTTGCCGTGCACCTGCGAGGCAGCCTGCCCACTGCGTGGGTGTCCCTCCAGGGGCCATGAGGGCTTGCCTTGGGCCAATGTCTTCCCAGAGCCTGTCTCTGTGCCAGCAGGTGCCTGGGCCTTTTTTAGACAGGCAGAGAGAAAGAAAGTGAGAAATCACCCCCCAGGGGGGATGGCCATGCCACAATCCCTTCTCCATCCTCCTCTTGGGATCTTGGGCGCACACCCACGCGCGTCCGGTGTGATTTTAAGCCACTGGTCCGGTTCTCGAACTGTGGTCGACTACGTGGGAGTCCAGCGACATAGCCATTACGCTAACTGCTGGTCCCATGCCTGGGTCTTTTTATTTGCCGAGTCCATGCTCCAGAAACGCTGTTCTTCCGGCAGCGGTGAATTAAAAGTGAGTGAGCAGGAGGTGCTCGTACCAGTCGTGCCCGCAGCTGCCGGCGGGCCTGACGCTGTGCACGTGCTTCCCCCATGGGAACAGTCCCCGGAGCCACGGCTGGTGCTGGTTGGGGCCCAGCTCCGCGCTCCTGTGTCAGATGAGCTGGTGCGTGGCGGGGCAGGGTGTCTTGTGGCTCACTGTGGACCCACTCCCAGAGGGCCCCCACCCTCGTGGAACCCAGCCCACTCCTCTTGCCGGGGTCTGGCATTCTGGCCCTGGTGTCTTGGTGTCCTGGGTAGTGAGGCGTGGCTGCCACTCCCCGAGGCCCCCCCGCCATCAAATGAGCCATTCGGAGAGCTGGTCCCACTGCTGGCCAGCAGTCCGAGGCCCAGTGTGCTGTGGCAGGACCTGGCCGGGGCAGCCCCTTTGCGCCATACATCTCTTGGGGGTAGAAGAGGGGCTGTGTGAGTCTGTGTAGCCTGGAAAGTCGGCCCCTGGGTGGTCTGTGGGGCCGTCACCTTCCCAGAGGCCGCCGGTCTTCGCACACCTGCTGCACTTCTGGCGCGGAAAGCCCTCCTACCAGAGCAACTGCTGGCCATTCGCAAACACCTGGCAGGCCGGTGCCTTCTGGGGGTCACCAGGGTGGGGCTCCGGCCTCAGCTCACCCTGAGCCCGCATCCGGGAAGAAGGTTGGCCCTCGCGGCTCCACGTCCATCCAGGGCAGTGGCTGTAGGACTCCGAGCTGCACCAGTGCCTTCTCCATGGGGCCTTGTGGACTGGGCCCTGGTCTGACCCCTGCTTGGACCATGCCTGCCACAGCGGCTTCCCTGGGTCGGCCTCAGGCCCTGCTCCTTGCCGTCTGTCTGTCCTCCCCAGTCCTCACATCTTTGAGGCCCGTGGCCACCCTCCCCTACTCTGTCCCTGCAGGTGTCAGTGGGCGTAGTGTGTCCTGCCCCTCAGCGCTCACCTGGACACTCTGTCCCCTTGATGTCGCCAGTCAGTGTCCAGGGGCCTGAGTGTGGGTGCCCAGCTGTCCCTCCGTCCTCGAGCGGCTGACTGAAGGTGGGATGTGCATTGGGGCTGGCCACCTTCTTGCCTGTGTGGGGTCAGGCTGGTCCAGCCAGCCCAACTCATCCCTTGTTCGAGGCCGTTGTTCCAGGTGCCCTTGCTGGGCCTGGTCTGAGTTGGAGGGGTCCAGGCACCAGTGTGAAGAAACCACCCTGTCCAACTGTCTGTCTGTCTGTCTCGCCCTGTACTCTGCCTGGAGGTGTCGCTTTGCTCTGGGAAGACTTGGGTGTGCGCCGGCCCAGAGAGGGCGTTATCCCCACATGAGCAGGTGTGCGCCCTGGTGCCCAGCCCTGCCCCGAGTGTCCTTGGCCTGTGCCCCAAGCGAGTAGCTTTGGCTGGCTTCTAAGTCTCGTGGGCTGAGTGCTCTGTGTGACCTGCCCACGCCGGTCCTTCAGGCTTGTCAGCTTGGCTGTGGCAGGTGGTTCTGGGCTGGGGGTGCCCCTATCAGACCCTGGGACTCGGGATCTGGGACATGCTGGGCTGGGGTGTGCGTCAGACCTCTGTCCGTGCGAGTGGAGTGGGCGCTCTCACCTCCCTGACCTAGGTCCACATGGAGGTGGGGCAGGTGGCGACAGTATTTCCCATTGCTTAGGGTGGAGGACCCTCCACCCCTAACCAGGGGCCGTGCGCTCTCCTGGGGAGCTGGGGTCACGGCTCAGAGGGTGTGTGAAGGGTCTCCTTTTCCAGGGTGCCCAGACATCCGATGGCCAAGGAGGAACGTGATGCCGGGACTAGTTGTGGTCCCGTCGTGAGTGAGCTGGGTCAGGTTAGGCGAGAGCTCTCCCACGTGTGGAAGCCTGTGCCGAGCACGGTCTCTGTGGGGGTGGCCGTCCCAGCTGCCCTCGGGACTGTTCCTCGGCTCTCTGCCACCACTTGGGAGACCTCTTCGAGAGGCGCTGTGCTGCAGGTTGCATGTCTCCCTCGGGAGACAGGATTCTTAGTTTTTTAAGGCTGAGGCAGACAGGAAAAAGGGATTTTTGGGGGGGAGGGGAGAAGAAAAAGTACATACCCTCCCAGGTCCCACAGCCTGGAGGAGCCTGGAGGAGCCAGGCCCATGTGCAGCCTGGGCACAGTGCCCCAGCTCAGGGCTCGGCAGGTGTGTCCTCACCTCGACATGAGGGTGGGCTCCCTTAGGAGAGCGACAGGTGGCTTGGCTGAGCTGCTCTGCCTGCCAGACCCTGAGGGACAAGACTGGGTTTGTGCAGCTGTTCTTGGAGAGCCGGGGAGCTTCAGGCTCACGGGGCCCCGTGTCCCAGTGGGTTCGGATGCTGCTGCAACTTGGGTGGCCCACGCTAGGGGGGCTCATCTCGCTTTGAGGTCTCGTGTTGATGAGGCTTGGTCTGCGCCTGTCTCTTGAGGCAAGGTGGTGTAACTCCGCGCCCCAATTCTGTGCATGGGCCCTGCTCTGGGTGGTGGCTCTGCCTCGGCCTGGCGCTCTCGGGGGGCCTCGTGCAGATCCAGGGAGGAAGGACTGACGCTCCTCACTGCCTTTGTGGGGCTTGAGAAAGTACTCCCTTCTTTAGACCAGTGCTCCTGTCTGCCGCGGCTGGCCTTTTCTGTGGCCACTTGTGGCGTTTCCTTTCCCAGCACGGGCGTCCCTGTCCCTGCCCTGAGGACGCCCTGCATGTGGAGCAAGGCTGCTCTCACCCAGTTAGGAAACGCCCCTGTGGACAGTGTTGCGGTCGCATGGGTGCTGGGGAGGAGAGGTGTTGCTATGAGGGGCTGGCCAAGCTGCGCTCAGGCACCTCCTGCTGTGTTCCAGGTCTCGCCAATGGCTTTGGGGGTGCGAGGAGCGAGCAGGACCTGGGCAGCGGCCCGGGCAGGAGAGCCCCGCCTCGCCGGCGCTGCGCCTCTGAGTCCAGCATCTCCTCCAGCAGCAGCCCGCTCTGCGACCCCAGGTGGGTGCCGCCTCCAACCTTGGTCCCTGAGGGAAACACCCACCTTCCATGCTGACCTGCCTGCTCTAACTCGCCCACAGGGGGGTGCATGTGGTTAAGCTCATGCCTTCTCCGGCCTGTGTGCCCAGGGCCCGCCCCTTGTCAGCCTCAGCCTGTGCTGCCCGGGCTGGTCCAGCCAGGGCTGGGAAGAGGCCAGGCGGGTTTCCGGCCACAGGCCCGGTATGAGGGCCGTCGGGTCTGCAGAGGAGCTCCTCACCCGGCCTGTCTCCCTCCTGAAGCTTTAGCACACCCAGGTGTGGGCGGGGCAAGCCCGCGCTCGTGCGGAGACACACGCTGGAAGACCGCAGCGAGCTGATCTCCTGCATTGAGAACGGCAACTACGCCAAGGCGGCCCGCATCGCGGCTGGTGAGTCCTGCAGCCCTCCTGGCTTTGCCTGTACCCTCTGCCTGTGTCCGGGCACGAGAGGGCCATGGGCTTGGGCTCCAGAGATCGGCTATGTCAGGCCGCCGGTGCCCTCTGGGAGCCTGGGCCCTGCCGACGGCTGCATCTGAGTCCATTCTGTGTAGTCCACGTGTGCTGAGGGCCTGGGGGGTTAGGGTGCCTGTCATGTGGCTGTGCCCTACTTCGGGCACCAGGGGCATGGTGATGAGGCCGCCTGCCAGGCCTGGCGGCCACCTGGAAACTACAGCCCCCTCCTCCCTGCGTAGCAGGCAGCCGCCCTGGGGACCTGGAGGCGATGGCGGGAGAGATGGCAGATCGGGTTCTGTGGTGCTGTCGGGGGCGTGGTGGGCTGGGCGGGGCACCTCCGGGAATGCTTGGCCAGGCCAGTGAGAACTGGCAGTGATTGTGGGAGGGAGCGGGCCCTGACTTTGAACCTGGGATGTTGGTTGTGTTGATGTCTGCAGGACACGCTGGGGCAGGCTGCCTCCTCTCGAGGAAGGCCAGGCTGACCCGACTGGGCTGGGCGGTAGCTCTGGGCCTGTGGGGGAGCTCACGCTACTGCTCCTTTCCCAGAGGTCGGCCAGAACAGCATGTGGATCTCTCCGGGCGCTGCGGCCTCCGTTCTGGAGCCCCTGAAGGTGGTGTGGGCCAAGTGCACAGGGACGTGCACTGCCGGGGCGCTGGGGGCGGGGGCTGGCACGCCTGGCTGACTTGCAGTGCCCCCGGCAGATTATTGACCCCAAGATGCCACGTGTGGCTGGCCACCACAACGGGGTCACCATCCCAGCCCCGCCCCTGGACGTGCTGAAGATCGGCGAGCACATGCAGACCAAGTCGGACGAGAAGCTGTTCCTCGTGCTGTTCTTCGACAACAAGAGGAGCTGGTGAGTGAGGACCCGGGCCTGCACTTGCTCTGGTGGCCTGGTACCATTTCTTTTTACCACGTCCACGTCGGACCTTGGGGCTTGCCTTGGGCCTGGCCGCATGGCCCTCTGCCCAGGGCACCCTGCTGGCCACCTGGGGCACTATCCCCCGCCTCTGCTCAGATGTCGCTTCCTGTCACTGAGGCTGCCGTGCCTCCCCTGGTGTGTCCCAGTGCAGACCCCGAGACTCCTTCGAGTGCTGACCGTGTCGCCAGGAGGAGCTGTGTGGCCATGGCACGGGCCTCTGCTGTGCGGTCTGGGGCCCTCTGCCACTGCAGGCGGGCCTGGCCACCACCCGCCCACGCCTCAGCTCTGCTGCCTCCTTCCCTGGCCTCATTGGTCTTGGCGGCCGCTCCAGTCTGACCGTTCTGGTCACACGGCGACCACTCCAGTCCTGCCTGGAGGGTGCAGGCTGCCGTGCCCACCCAGGGTTCTGCGGGGGCCAGGAGCACCAGGCCCAGGCCCTGCCCCATGGGTGCCTGCATGTGTTTGTTGGCGTGTGTTTATGCTTGTTTTGTGTGGCCATTTGGGACATGGCAGTTACTGGCCTGTGCTCTGGAGGAGGGGACAGGGCCGTGATTTCACTCCTTCCTGTGGTGTCCTCCTGGCCCGGGGCTCAGGTGTCCTTGCCTGGCTGCTTCCTGTGCAGAGGGGCTCAGGCTGTCAGGTGGTTCCGTGGAACATGTGGCAGCGTGACACTCAAGTGGTCCTCACCCTTCCATCTTCTCTTCTGAAAAGGCAGTGGCTCCCGAAGTCCAAAATGGTCCCTCTTGGTGTGGATGAGGCCATCGACAAGCTGAAGATGATGGAGGGGCGGAGTTCCGGCATCAGGAAGGCCGTGCGGGTGGCCTTTGACCGTGCCATGAACCACCTGAGCCGCGTGCACGGGGAGCCGGCCAGCGACCTCAGCGACATCGACTGACGCAGCTCCTGCAGAGAAGGGCCTGGCTGCCTGAGCTGGCCGCCTGC